CCCCTGCTTGCAGGGGTGCACGGCGTGCTGGATGTTTCAGGTTTTGGTTTTGGTTCTTTTTCTAAAAGAACTCCCCAGTGGGCTTCGGCCCGTCCCGCCGGCCACCCGGAAAGGATGCCCAGGAGCTCAATTCCCCAATTTCCTGCCCCAGACGGTTCCAAGATGGCCTCCAAGACGGCCAAGATGGCCCAAGATGGCCTCCAAGATGCTTCCAAGACGGCCACGATGGCCTCCAAGACGGGTAAGATGGCTCCAAGATGCCTCCAAGACGGCCCAAGATGCCCTCCAAGACGGCCAAGATGGCCCCAAGATGCCTCCAAGATGGCCCAAGAGGCCTCCAAGACGTTCTCCAGGAGAGCCCGAAGAGGCCAAAATCATTGGTTGTCCTTAGGTTTTTGAAGGTTTTTTGCGTTTTCATCTTTTCGGCCTTCCGACGGCCCAAGAGGCCCCCAAGATCGCCCAAGAGGCCTCCAAGAAGGCCCTATGACGGCCCAAGGGCCCCCCAAGACGGCCCCAAGAGCGCCCCAAGACGGCCCAAGAGGCCTCCAAGACGCCCAACATGGCCTCCAAGACGGCCCTGAAGCGCCCCAAGAGGGCCCCAAGACGGCCCAGAGAGGCCCCCAAGACGGCTCCAGACGGCGTCAGACGGACCAGGAACGCCCTAAGACGGCCAAAGAGACCCCCAGGAAGCCCCCAAAGGCCCCCAAGAGGCCCAAGGAGGCCCCCAAGATGCCTCCAAGAGGCCTCGAAGAGGCCCCCAAGAAGCTCCCAACAGACCCCAAGGGTGCCCCAAGAGACTCCTAACAACCCTCATCCTCCTACTCTATTTCCTCTTCCTCTTCCTGTTCATAATCATTCTCTCCCATGTGTTCCCCGAAAGCTTTCCAAACCGACTCGGGGAACTCATGGTCCGATAGCTTGGCCAAGCTCTAGTCCAACTTTCGGCCACATCGGCGTTTCCAAAAAGGCAGGGGGCGGCGGTGATTCGCCGTAGGCGTCTTCGATCCGCCGCCCCCTGCTTGCAGGGGTGCACGGCGTGCTGGATGTTTCAGGTTTTGGTTTTGGTTCTTTTTCTAAAAGAACTCCCCAGTGGGCTTCGGCCCGTCCCGCCGGCCACCCGGAAAGGATGCCCAGGAGCTCAATTCCCCAATTTCCTGCCCCAGACGGTTCCAAGATGGCCTCCAAGACGGCCAAGATGGCCCAAGATGGCCTCCAAGATGCCTCCCAGACGGCCAAGATGGCCTCCAAGACGGGTAAGATGGCTCCAAGATGCCTCCAAGACGGCCCAAGATGCCCTCCAAGACGGCCAAGATGGCCCCAAGATGCCTCCAAGATGGCCCAAGAGGCCTCCAAGACGTTCTCCAGGAGAGCCCGAAGAGGCCAAAATCATTGGTTTTCCTTAGGTTTTTGAAGGTTTTTTGCGTTTTCTTCTTTTCGGCCTTCCGACGGCCCAAGAGGCCCCCAAGATCGCCCAAGAGGCCTCCAAGAAGGCCCTATGACGGCCCAAGGGCCCCCCAAGACGGCCCCAAGAGCGCCCCAAGACGGCCCAAGAGGCCTCCAAGACGCCCAACATGGCCTCCAAGACGGCCCTGAAGCGCCCCAAGAGGGCCCCAAGACGGCCCAGAGAGGCCCCCAAGACGGCTCCAGACGGCGTCAGACGGACCAGGAACGCCCTAAGACGGCCAAAGAGACCCCCAGGAAGCCCCCAAAGGCCCCCAAGAGGCCCAAGGAGGCCCCCAAGATGCCTCCAAGAGGCCTCGAAGAGGCCCCCAAGAAGCCCCCAACAGACCCCAAGGGTGCCCCAAGAGACTCCTAACAACCCTCATCCTCCTACTCTATTTCTTCCTCTTCCTCTTCCTGTTCATAATCATTCTCTCCCATGTGTTCCCCGAAAGCTTTCCAAACCGACTCGGGGAACTCATGGTCCGATAGCTTGGCCAAGTCGGCCACATCGGCGTTTCCAAAAAGGCAGGGGGCGGCGGTGATTCGCCGTAGGCGTCTTCGTATACAAAACTGGGCCTGGCGGTCGGTCCTGCGGCTATGTCGTCGCCGTCGCCGCCCCGTCGCCGCCTCGTCACCGCCGTCTTGGCCCGGCCGTCGGTCTGGCGGCGATGTCGCGGCCGTCGCCGCCCCGTCGCCGCCTCGTCGCCAACCGTCGTCTGGGCCTGCACGTCCGGTCTGGCAACTCTGTTGTCACCGTCGCCGCCCCGCCGCCGCCGCTTTGCAGCCTCGTCGCCGCCATACAGGTTGCATCACATAGAATGCACAACATGGACCGCACAACTTAAATGGCACAACGCACAACGCGGCTTGCACCACAAATATTGTTCCACATCGATTGCACAAAATCAACTGCACAACGTGTATTGGACCACACAGATTGCACAGGCGGCACCATATAGGTTGCAAAAAACTGGTTGCACAACATCGCTTGCATATGGCACACCACAGATCGAATCCATACATATATATAATTGTTCAACAACGATTTCATTTACAACATAGAGCCTCCTTACTACAAAAAAGTATTAGGCTATACCCCCTCCCCAGGGTCAGTTGTCCACCTGTTCGTAATGCAAAATCACTTATGACCCTGCCCCAGCGCCGATCGAAGATATGAACCCATACCACCCATACCATCCTAGCCAGGCCGGAGTCCGACCTCCCCCGTCCTCTTCAAGACAATTATATGCGCGCGCACTCCTTCAATAAAAATCGGTCCCTTGCAAGAAATGGGACGAAATGCGCACGCGCGAGTCGTCGCGCGCGCATGCCGAAATCCGTTCAAAACCTCAGGTTTCGCAAGAGTTTCAAAATCGAGAGTCACGAACACATGCAAAAGAACATGGTTTCGCGACAAGGGTCTTCAAACAAAAGCGTGTGCCCGCGCTCTTGCGAATTCTTGAGAAAATCGTCAGTTTTCAGCATTTTCATTAAACGCTTCGAACGCCCTCGCGCGCGTGCTGTCGCAAGAATCCTTTGCACAAAACGGGACGACGTGCACACTCGCGCTTCGTCGCGCGCGCATGCCGAAATCCTTCAAACATCGTAGGTTTCGTAAGAAATTCAAACACGAGCGTCCCGAAAGCATATCAAAGCACATGGTGTTGCAACGTCAGTTTTCACAAAAAACCTCTGCTCGCGGTCGTGCGAATTCCTCAGGAAACAATGACATTCCAGCATGTTTCATCAATACGGGCCTCTCGCGCCGCCTGCCGAACTCACTCGGACGTACGTGCGCGCGTGCTGGGGGGGGGGCAAGATCTGTCAAATAATACCACTCGGGCCCCCGCAAAGCCAGTGTGTTAATCATTATCATACGCTGTACTCGCGGCTGTGTACCTCGCATCGCCATTTTCATCGCTGGCGCCGCGCCCATTTCGGACACGACGACGGTGGCCGTGACAGCGACGCCGCCAACGCTGCCCGCCAGACCCGCAGAAGGCCCCCGTAGGCCGCCGAGGGCAGCCGCGGGCCGCCGCAGGCTGCCTGCCGAAGGCTGCCTGCCGATGGCCGCCGAAAGGCCGCCGAAAGGCCGCCGAAAGGCCGCCGAAAGGCCGCCGATGGCCGCAGAGGGTCGCCGAAAGGCAACCGAAGAGCCGTCGGCGGCCGCCGAGAGGCAGCCGAGAGGCCGCCTGCCCCGCCGGGGCGGCCCTCGGGGGGCCCGCTGGCGGCGGTGGCTTCGGCACCATCAGTATGACGTGCAGCGGGCGCCTCGCACGCCGCCGCAGCCAAGGCCGCCGCCGCCGCCGTCCTCGTCGCTGTCGCCGTCGTCGTCGTCGTCGTCGTCGTCGTCGTCGTCGTCACGGCCATCATCGCCGTCATCGTAAACGTCCTCGTCGTCGACATCGTCATTTTCGTCGTCTTCGCCGTCGTCGCCGTCACCGTCGCTGTCGCCCTCGCCGTCGCCCGCTGTTGTCGTCGTCGCAGTGGCCGTGGCCGTCTCCGTGACCGTCGCCATCGCCGTCATCGTCGCCGTCGCCGTTGCCACCGTCGCCGTCGCTGCAGCCGCCGTCGCCGTCGCCGTCGCCGTCGACGTCGCCGTCGCCGTCGCCGTGGCCGTGGCGGTGGCCGTGGCCGTGGCCGTGGCCGTGGCCGTGGCTGTGGAAGTCGACGTCGGCGTCGCCGTCGCCGTCGCCGTTGCCGTCGCCTTGGCCGTGGCCGTGGAAATCGCCGTCGCCGTCCCTGTCGCCATCGCCGTCGCCGTCGCCGTCACCGACGTCGGCGTCGTCCTCGTCGTCGTCGTCGACGTCGTCGTTGTAGCCCTCGCCGTCGCCGTCGCCGCCGTCGTCGCCGTCGCCGTCGGCTTCGCCATGGCCGTCGCCGTCGCCAAGGCCGTGCGGCAGCGACGGGGCGGAGAAAGTCGAGCAGCAGCAAGCGCAAGCGCGCCCGCCTGGGAGCGCCCGAGCCCTCAGGGACCGAAAAGGGCCGCGCAGCAGCCGCCCGCCATAAGCCATCCGAGCATACCCAATACACATAAACGTTCGGAGACCCGAGCGGCGCTCCCGGATCGGGCCCCATATGTGCGATCGGAAGGGCGGTGGAGGGTCGATGCATCCCACCCTGATGGTGAGGCTCCGGACCCCGACTGGCGTCGACAGGCCCCCCGAATGATCCCAGCTGGCCTCCACAGGCCCCCCGAGTATACCAGCGCGGTCTCAACACCTCAACCCCGGGGCGCGGAGATTGAACACCTCAACCCTGGGGCGCGGAGCGCCCCAGGGGCGCGAGGCGGCTCCAGGCTTTCGAGACGGCCCCAGGCTACTTGGGGGGCCTGCTGCAGCCAGCTGGGACCATGTACCTGGGGAGGGCTGTCTGTGCGAACCTTAGCCTCTCCACCCCTACAACGTTGCCACAGACTCGTCCACCATCAGAACCACGCAGTAAGTAGTGGACCGGAACGGATGGGAGATGTGGCGCAGGCGCCCTCAGCTTGCCTACCCCCGACCAACGTTGGATCCTGACAGTTCTCCTCCAAGGGCGAGGCCCCCGAGGAATGCAGCGGGCGGCGCGCTGCGGGGCGCGCCCGAGGCACAGGCCGCCCGCGCTGGCGAACTGCGCGGAGAGGTCCGCGAGCTCGCCGTCGGGGCCGTCCAGGCGGTGGAGGCCGCGCTCCGCGTCGTAGGCGGTCACGCGACGGAAGGGCTGGCCTCGGGGGGGGGGCAGGGGCAGCGTTGGGGGGGTTCGGGGTCGAGGTTCGGGCGTCTTCCGACTTGCTCGTCGGTTCTCGGCGGCGTCCAGCCTTGGGATGATCTCCAGAAGCTGCGCCTCGCCGAAAGCTTTACGGGGGTGCCCGGATCGTCCCTAACAGCAGCCGGAGGTCCGAGTTCTGACCCGAAAGCCACCAGGTGGCCGCTTGCATCCTCCCCCTCCCTCCCTCCTCCCGCCTCTCTCCTCCCACCTCTCGCGCTAAACCGCAGAACTAGTATGCTAAACTGGGGCTGGGCCACACGGGAGGCAGAGCGGACCTCACCCTTCCCCCCCGATGCAACCAGCCACGCTCCAGTGGGCAACGACACCCCTGAAGTCAACTGCCTGGGAGAGGACCTCTGCAGGGCATGCGGGGGTCGCGGACTGCGCACCCTAGCGGGGCAGCTCCATCGCCCCAGCCCAGAGGGCTGGCCAGGGCTGGCGCACACCCAGTCCCCCAGCGCAGCATATCTTGACCACCATGCCCACGCCCCGCCCCACCAGGGAACGGGGACTCAGGGCCCAAACACCACCCACCAGGATGAGGGGACCTGAGCGACACCAGCGCAGCCCATCGATCGGAGGCCTGCCCACACGCAGCGCCTCACCGTGGCCAGGCAACAACCTGGCCAGGATCGTGCAAATGCTTAAACCACAAACAGCAGCAGGGCGCCTCCAGCCTCGCACGCGCACGCGGCCACAAACACGAACACACACACACACACAACACACACAACACACACACACACACACTGCATTGTATTGCATCCAGGAGCAGCCAAAATCCCTCCTTGGGAGGTCCCAAACAAAAAGTGCAGTCCGCCTGGAATGACCTCAGACAGGCTTTCCGCACGCCTGTTCCTCCTGGGGTCATTTTCCCAGACAAATTCCAAGCGCGATTTGCTGCCCATTGATAGTGCACGTGCACTTGGCTCTCCAATATATGGGCGATGCGAGAACACCTGACAACCTGTTCCACAGCCTGGCACCGGGTCCTGGAGGGGGATGCCCCAACGCAGCGCATTCTTCCCTAAGGCACCGAGGTGCTCATGCCAAAGCGCGCTAAAAGTCGATGCCTCCCTGCAGGATGGGCGTGCAGAGGGGGCGTACCACGCCCTCATCGCCACGCCCGTCCAAGTTTATCAGTCGGGGTCCCACTGTCGACTGCGCTAGGAAGACAGATTTGTTCCACCCATGTTTGTGAAGTGGCACCTCCCGCCAATGTGGGGTTGGCCCAGCCGGCGCTCGTACCCTGCGGGACTGGACAGGCACTTGTCCGAATCGGTGCGCTTTCCTCCCACTTGACCCCCGTTTTCCTCCTGTCCTTCCCCCTCCCCACGACACGGCTCGGCGTAAAGGTGGGGTAGGGGCAACGGTTGAGTGAAAAGGAACACCGCTCCAACTAATTAGCTCCCAAGAGAAAACAGTGTGAGCATCCAGCTGCCCAGGATGCGTTCGTTCCCTACCCCATCCCTGGCTTCACTACTCCACTCCCCCTCCTCCTCTTCCTCCTCCTCCGCCTCCTCCGCCTCCTCCTCCATCTCCTCCTCCTCCTTCATCTCCTCCTCCTCCTCCTCCTCCTCCTCCACCTCCTCAATATCCTCTTCCTCGTCCTCGTCGTCGTCATTGTTTCCCTTCTTCTCCTCCTCCTCCTCCTCCTCCTCCTCCTCCTCCTCCGCCTCTTCCTCCTCTTCCTCCTCTTCCTCCTCCTCCTTCTCCTTCTCCTCCTCCTCCTCCTTCCCTCCTCCTCCTCCTCCTCCTCCGCCTCTTCCTCCCTTCCTCCTCTTCCTCCTCTTCATCTCCTCCTCCTCCTCCTCCTCCTCCTCTCCTCCTCCTCCTCCTCCACCCCCCCCCTCGTCCGCTTCCTCCCCCTCCTCCTTGTCCGCGTCCTCGTCCTCGTCCTCGTGTTCCTGATCCTCCTTCTCCATCACATTATCCTCCTCCTTTTCCTCCTCCTTTTCCTCCTGTTCTACTTCTCCCCTTCCCCAGACATCGAAACTCCCCCCCCCCCGTTTCTCCTCTCCACCCCCCCCTGCCTCGCAACTTGCGAAGATGGGACACCAGGAGAATGGACGAATGAATGCATCATTTGGGCGGCTCAGTCAAAACAAACCTCTCATTGCGTCGTGGAAATAATGCGACCGACTGTGTTTGCTAATTCTTATTTCTGAAAACGGCCCCGGGCGAAAAGCCAGTCTGAAAGGAAGGAGTTCAACCTCCGAGGGATCCACGTCATGAACAATCACGAGATCGGAGGTATTGGGAGGAGGCTGCGGCACGGTCGCGTTGTGACAGCTTGTCCGTTGAGTTCTGCCACCGCGTGGGTCGGCCGGCCCTATGGCGGAAACCGTTCGACAACTGTAAGTGGCGGCATCCAACTCTGAGGTGCCCGCGCTGGTGTCGCCGCCGCTTGAGGGGAGCAACGCGTGATAGGAGCCTGACGGGAGCATGATGTTCGGAGGTCCTCCGAGATTTCGTGGATCGGCGCTGGACCCCTCCTTGCGACGCCTCCACAATTGTTTTTGTTGCCGCGTTCCGCGCGAAGAGGAGGGAGGCCCAGCGCCGATCCGAAAAATCCGCGCGGACCTCGTCATTTTGACGCCGGCGTGCGAGGCTCTTCGAGACAGCTTGAAGTCTCGGCACGTGCCCGGCGAGAAAGCAGGAGCGAGGGGGCGACTTAGACCTTAGACGCAACACTCATCGCAGAAACGTTTCCACCTTTTGGATCGGACGCGTTGTGCGCGCAAGGGGCGGCGCCGGAGGCGACGCCAACGGGTCCAGCGCCGATCCTAGATATCCGCGCGGAGCTCAGAGAATTCATGTTTATGTAAGTGTTCCCTCTTCGGGCCAACGGGAACCTCTGAATCGCAATTTCGCGTCCAGGCAGCGATGCCAGGATGCACGCACTATCTCGCGACGAGAGAACCCCCCCTGCCGTAGACCCCGGACCACAGCTTCTCCGTCGCCGATGGCCTCTGAGGGCCCTAGAGCCCGACATGCGCTTGCAGGGGCCCAAACCCCAAACATCGGGCCGCCATGGTCTTCCAAGACGCTGGAGGTTTGGGGAGGGGGCCCGACTCCAGAAATCGAGTTGCCATGACCTTCCAGGGCGCTGGAGCCTGGGGAGGAAACAAGGACGAGGCGGAGGGTGAGGGAAGAGTCCAGATCAGAGCCATTCTACCCTGCCTCCCCAGCTTCGCAAAAGAGCAGGAGGAAGAGGAGGATGAGAAGGAGGAGGAAGAGAAGGAGGAGCAGGAGGAGGAGGAGGACAAGGACAAGGAAAAGGATGAGGAGGGGGGAGGAGGAGGAGGAGGAGGAGGAGGAGGAGGAGGAGGAGGAGAGGAGGAGGAGGCAGGAGGAGGAGGAGAGGGAGTTGCGGAGAGGAGTGGTGAAGCCAGGAGGAGGAGGAGGAGGAGGAGGAGGAGGAGGAGGAGGAGGAGGAGGAGCAGGAGGACGACGACGACGAGGGCCACCCCCAGAATGAGCTTCGCCGAGTCGAGGGCAGGCGGGGTCGGTGAGCACGCTGGCCGAAGCTGGGCGCCCGGCGCGCACTCTGCTGGCCGTCGGGCCGTGGGGGCTGCACGAACTCGCCGCACAGCTCCTGCGCAGGGCACGGCCGCTCCGTCGGCACTGGGCCCCTGTGCCGACGTCCAGGTCCACCACCTCCTCCAGCCTTCCTCCCCGTCGTCCTCGTCCTCCACCTCCTCCGTCTCCCCCGCCTCCTCCGCAGCCTCCTCCGCACCTCCTCACCCGTCCGAGTCTGGGAGCGTCCAGGCCCCGCTCATGCCTTCCGCCCCATCCATCGAATTGGCCTCCCGGTGCCCCCAATGCACTAGTGCTGATCCTCCCCTTGTCTCCGCCTCCTCCTCCTCCTCCTCCTCCTCCTCCTCCTCCTCGCCAGGCTCGTACTCTTCAGTGTCCGCACTTCAGCGTACACAGTTATCTCTACCACCCGCCAGCGTGAAACACATGTCGACACATGCAGAGAGAGAGAGAGAGAGCGAGAGAGATGAAAGCGGTGCTCCCAGCCGCCGCTGCCCAGATCGCTGGCATGCAGGCCCTAGCTGCCACGAGTACCCTGCAAGTGATAGAGAAACCCTGGCCGTGCCATGCCATGAAGACTGCTGGCTGCCATAGAGACCCCATCTGTGCCCAGCTCGCTAGCAGGCCCCGCACCCTGCGCAGTGGCGTCAGCGTCGTCGCCACCCGCGTCAGCGCCCTGCCCCGCGACGTCAGCAGGCGTCCCCCCTGCGCGTGGCGACAGCGCCAGCGCCGTCTGCGACGGCGGCGGCCGAGGTTGCCACCATCGACCCAGAGCTCGTCCCCTGACGAGCGCGGCTGACTTCAGAACGGCTTACCGAGCACGACCTCGTCGGCGGCCACGCACCCAGCACCAGGAAGCCGAATCGATCATAAGACGAAGCCAGGGCGGTGATTACATCGGGTGAGGATAAATCGAGAATCCTTAAGAGCAGGCGGCTCTTGAGGATGTCTCGGGCGCCGCGGCCTTCTCAGAGCGTTCAGGAACGCTCTGAGAGCGTTCTGGACCGCTCTGGAACGCATTTGTTCTCGTCCTAGCCCCGTCCGACATACGCCGGCCTCAGCCGAACCTATCATGGACAAGGTGTTCTATGCTGCCCTGCCTGCCGCGCTTTTGATCGCCGCGCTCGTTGCCTGCCTGATCCCATTGCCGCTTCGACATCGAGGATGCGGAACGCTCGCGGAGCTGGCGTAACCTCCAAACCAGTCCAGGACGAAGCGGCCGAAGTCGAGAAGGGGGAAGGACGCCCAGGAGCACGGGAAGGAACTCAGCGAAGAAGGGAAGGAGGATGAGGATGAAGACGAGAACCAGGAGCAGCAGGACGAAGAGGATGAGCAGAATGACGAAGAGGACGAGGACGAGAACCAGGAGCACGGCGCTGGAGGTGCGGCGGGTCTCCTCGCCGAACAGCCTCCTGCGGTGCCCGCAGAAGGACGGGACGAGGTCGGTGCCCCCGGAGACCTGCGGGAGGGGGCGGGGGGCCGCACGCCCGGGGGCACGAAGCGAGCGACCCCCATCTCCAGAGCAGAGGGCACGGAGCAGCGGGCGGCACGCCCGCGGACACCGGGGGTGCGAGGCGGGGATTGGTCCACGAACCACCACCCAGGGGGTGGATCTTTGGGGACCTCGGCAAGCGGCAAACGTGGACGCGTTCGCCCCCCTGGGGCCTGAGTGCATATATACCATACAGATACCGGTGTACGAATACACGTGTTTATGTCTTTACGCACGCATATGTAAGATGGTCCCGGGGACCGTCCTGGAGCCCTCTTGGGCGCCTCTTGGGCCGTCTCGAAAGCCTTGGAGGGCAGGTCCAAGAGGCTAAATCGTTAAAACACGTTGGTGCCCCACATGCTTAGTGGGAGTGTGGTTTTCTTCCCACCCGCGTCTCCTCGTCCACCCCTGACCTCCCCCTTCTCCCACCTGCACTCGCGTGGGCATCAGACACAAACAAACATGCAGCCGCGCGCACACACACAGGCACAGGCACAGGCACAGGCACAGGCACAGGCACAGGCACAGGCCCAGGCACAGGCACAGGCACAGACACACACACACACACGCACACACACACACACACACACACATCCACACACATTCACATACACATCAAACGCAGGCCGTAGAGGCAGGACACGTGGACAAGGCAACGATAATATACAACTGGCGGGTCGCAACACGAGGCAGGCGTGGCACTTCAAGGGCACCAGAGGGCGTGCGCAGGGGGGGGGGGGCGCACTATCCGTCGTGAGCTCGCCAAGCGTGGCAGGCGTGGCACTTCTTGGACACCAGAGGGTGTGCACAGGGGGGGGGGGGGGGCGCTACCCGTGGTGAGCTCGCAGAACGTGGCACGCGCGGCACTTCTTGGGGATCAGGCGGTATGTGCAGAGGTGGGGCGCTCTCCGTCTTGATCTCGCAAAACGTGGCAGGCGTAGCCATCCCTGGGCACCAGAGAGTGTCCGCAGGGGGTGGGGTCGCTACCGGTCCTGAGCTTGCACAGCGTGGCAGGCGTGGCACTGCCTGGACACTAGAGGGGGTGCGCAAGAGGTGGAGGGGGGGGGGCTATCCGTCGTGAGCTCACAAAGCGCGGCAGGCCTAGAAGTTCCTGTGCACCAGAGGGTGCGCGCAGGGGGTGGGGGCGCTATCCGTCGTGAGCTCGCACAGCGTGGCACGCGTGGCTCTGCCTGGGCACCAGAAGGGGTGGGGTCGCTATCCGTCGTGAGCTCGCCAAGCGTGGCAGGCGTGGCACTTCCCGGACCAGAGGGGGCGCGCAGGGGGGAGGGCGCTATCCGTCGTGAGCTCTGGCAGGCGTGACACTTCCTGGGCACCAGAGGGGGTGCGCAGGAACATTCGTCGTGAGCTCGCCAAGCGTGGCAGGCATGTTGAAGCCATATTGGGCCGACTTGGGACCATCTTGGTCGGGCGTCTATGCATCTTGGGCTATCTTGGTCGCTTTGGTTGCCTGCCTGGGCCGCCTTGGAAGCTGGAGACGCGGACACATCGCTTTTTGCAGAGGATCGTGGACGCGGGAGCGCGGATCCATTGTTTCTGTTATCGTGGCCTCGGGAATAGGGGTGTGAAATGCCCATGCAGGATGAGACATGGGTATATGGGATTTCTCGGTCGCGTAATTGTTGAATGGTTTTCGCATCACCACGTTCTCGCTCTTCAGAGCGCCCAAGAAGGACCAAGCGGAGCCGAATATCTCCCAAAAACAAACCCAGAGCCCCCAAGAGGGGCCCAGGAGGCCCCCAAGACGGCCCCAAGAGGGGCCAAAGATGGGGAACACAAACCGACACTTGCCCCTCCGCCCCAGGCCCCGAGAGGCCCAAATCAGGCCCCAAGAGGTCCCCAAGACGCCCCAAAACACCCCCCAAAACTGCCTCCAAGAGGCATCCGAGAGGCCGCCAAATATCTTCACAGGCATCCAGGAGGCCTCTGACCTACAACCCAGGCGCGCTGGCGGGATGGATCGAAGGCCACGACGGGTCTCGGATACCCTGAGCCAAAAATGTTGACATCTCTTGGGAGGCCGATTTGGGCTTCCGCCGCCGGAGGCGGCCTCGTTTGGAGTCCGCCACCTTCCACCGCCACCCTGCCGCCTGCTGCTGCGGAAGAGACAGCGACTCCTTCGTCCCTCGAAGGCGAGGGCCCGCCTGGAGCCTCCGCATCCACCGCCTGCCGACGTTCCCCGGAGCCCGATCCCCGAGGCGGTGGCCGAAGGACGGATCCCCGCCTCGGAGGTGCCGGGCACCCAGGGCCCACGCGGCGCGCATGCGAGCTGGCTCCAGGGCCGCCGTAGCGGGGCCTGCTTGGTCTCCTGAGCAACGAGCGTCTTGGAACCGCCACCGTCCCGGCCGCTCCGGCGTCCGTGTCCTGTGCGTTGTTTTCTGGCGCTAGCCTCGCCGAGAAAAATGCACACGTCCGAGCGATGCCAAGCCACCATGCGAGACACGAAAAGAACCGGGTCTTACTCGAGATGGAATAGCGACCTTGCGCGTTCGCTTCATCTGCCCGCCAGCGCGGCACGCTACATCAGAAGCGAGGGCACTTTCGCGCGAACGTACGCGGCAGCTTGCGCGACAATGTCCACGCCAATGTCTGTCGCTCTGATCCAGCGGTAAGCGAGGGAGGGAAATGAGAAGGAGAAGACATTCTCAGAAGGCGGCGATGCTTCTCAGAAGCCCTCGAGTCTAGCCCTCGAGTCTTCTGAGAAGCTTTCTGTGTCCTAGGGGAAGGCTTAGAAAGCTTCTCAGAAGGCGGCGGGGCTTCTAAGAAGCCCTCTGGCCCTCTGAGAAGTGTTCTGTGTCTCCGGTGAAGGCTTAGAAAATTTCTCAGAAGGCAGGGAAACTTCCGAGCCTTCTGGGAAGGCCAGCCCCCTCTCATTTCCCCCCCGGGCTGGCCGCCGATCCACGCAAATGTCCGTCGCTCAGGTGTCTGAGGGTTGGGGGCCCATTTCGGAGTTGTGTTCTCGTGGCCCACCCGTGCTCTGGCAGCTCAACACTTCTACGCCGAGCAGCGACTGCTGCAAGACCCCGTGCCATCTTCCGAAGATCTTGTCCGCCGCGATGTTCCGCGCTCGGGGCCACCTCGGGGCCCCGCGACCGTGAAGGCACCAACCGGGATGGAAGCCCAGCCCACCGAAGGAGCCGAGAGGTTTGGGGCCCATGTTAGATGTTCGTTCTGGGGACCTTCCAGGAGCCACTCGCTCCACTCATGAGTCGATGCTGCGTCGAACGTGCGTCGGCTTGAGCCGACCTTGAGTCGAACTTGAGTGGAACTAGAGTCGAACTAGAATCGAACTAGAATCGAACTGGTCCTCTTGGGGGGCCCCAGGGAGGTCCTCGAAACGAGCACCTACCCCGCGCATGGCTCAAAAGACCAAGACGTCGGAAGGCTTGCGTAGCCGCCCCATGGAGGGCCGAGCGATGCCATAGGCACGCGGCCATGAGGCCGACTCCGAAGATCCTGGGAGGCGCCCAAACCTCTCTCCGGAGGTTCACCGTACCCCTCGGCATGAAGGAAACGGGTTCGGGTGCTCGTCAGCGAGGGGGGCAGTATAGACGTGGGGTGAAGAAATGCGCGCCGGTCGTGCACCCGGTGGGCCCGCGGTGGCAGCTTAGTGGCCCGTTAGGTCCACATGAGTTTTCCAGCGGCAAGGTCGAATGAGCGGCGCACGGGAGACGCCACACTTCACAGAGGGACAGAGGGAGTGAGAGTAGTCTGCGCAGACTGCAAAGGACCCCTCAGGACTGGGGCTCGGGGCGCGCAGGAGAAGGGGGGATGGAGAGGAAAAGGAAGAGGAGAAGGAGTTTAATGGCCCGTTAGGTCTGCTCTCCTTCTGCCCTCGCTCACATCACTAGTCTTGCCCCCCCCCTTGCCGCCCGCCCGCCTGGTCCTGAACCCCGGGCTCTGCCCCGGGTCCCGCGCTTTTCATGCCGCACCGTCATTTGACGGTTCCCCAGGGCCTGGGAATGGCCCCACGAGTTCGACAACGAGAACAAGCCTTCAGGTCCCATCCCCTAAGATTTCCGCGCCGTGGAAAAATCAGGACAACAGATTGTTCGTTGTTTCCGGCCTCTGGGACCCTTGCCGGGGGGGTCTGGGACCGTTAAAAACTATCCAGGATGAAAGTCCTGTCCCGGGGAAAGGGCCGGGACTTCTGGGGACATCGCATGTCTGGGTCCTTCTCTTCACAGCGAACATTCGTCGAACCTCTCCTTCCGCCGGCGGAGCCGCCCTCACCTCACTTCCGCAGCGGGCGAGGCGACGACTTGACCGACTCCTCCAAGACGAGGCCCACCCTGCGGAGCGTTCCTCACTGCGGGGACAATATGCGGGGGGAGGGGAGGCGGGGAGAAAGGTGCACATTTCGTGAACACCCAGGGGCCCCAGGGAGGCCCCCTCTTTAGGGCCCCTCTTCTGCCTCCCTCGATCCCTCCCCCAATGCGTCGCCCCCCTTTCGAAGCGCCCGACAGTCGGGCGGGTGGTGATGGGGGGGGCCACGTGAGGGGTGGAGAGAAGGGCCCTAAAGGGGCCCTCGAGGGCCCCTTAAGAAAAGGGGACCCAGAGGGCCCCTCGAGGGCCCTTTTCTTCACCCCCATATGTGGGTCACCCCCCCATCACCATCCGCCCAAGACAGGCCGGCCACGCTGATACACCCGGCCTCCTCCCCTTACCTCTCGTGAAAGCCACGGCGCGGCGCCTTCGCGCTGCCCCAGCACCGTCGCAGATCGAGGTAGCAGATCTTGCGCTCCCCGCACTCCTCCGTGGGAGATGACGTGGAGGAGACCGGGAGGGTGAGAGGAGGGATGAAGGATGAGGATAAGAGAGCGGGAAGGAGAGAGGACGGAGGAGGGAGAATGGGGGTAAGGGACTGGAGGACGGAGGGGGGAGGAGACTGGGGATAAGGAGGATGGATGGTCCTCTTCCTCTGCCGATTATTCCTCCTCCTCCTCCTCCTCCTCCTCCTCCTCCTCCTCTTCCTCATCTTCCTTCTCTTCCTCCGCCTCCTCCCTCCATAATCCTCATCCTCCTGATCCTCCTTCGACTTCCCCTCCTCCCTACCCTCCTTCCTCCTCCCTCCTTCTTGACCGCCTGCTCCCCCCCCCTTCCTCTGGCCCACTGGACTCCTTCGTGTGCAGGTTCATCGCCCGGAAGCCCATGCTGCGGTACCAGGATATTGCCCCCTCGCCGAGGATGGAGCGAAGCGCGGTGAGGAGATGAGCGGGAGAGGAAGGGACGAGAGCGAGGAAGAGACGGGAAAGAGAAGAGGGGAGGACGAGGGGAAGGAGGGAGCGGATGGGGAGGAGAAGCGGCAGGGTGAAGGAAGGGAGGTGGACGGGGAGGGGGACGGCGAGGATGATGACAAGTCCGCCGACCATGCCAGCGTGTGGGGGATCGTCCAGTCCAGGCGTGGCCCTGGAACCGCCTGTCCGTTCGAAACTCCTCTCATCCTCTCCCTGCGGCCACCTGGGGCTGCTCTCCACGCCCGCCGGGCCGAGGTGAAGCGACCCGGGTCGCAACCGAGTCGAGGGGAAGCGCCTTCACCTCGCCCCCCATCCCAACAGAGAGGGGGTTTGGGGGGGAGGCTCCTCCCCGCCACCCTGGAGTGCCCTGGGCGATCGTGTGGCCAGTGAAATTGCTTATCCTTGGACCACCTCGGCCCGCTAATGCCCTCTCGGGGCCAACCTCTGAGACGAAGCCAGGACGAAGATAAAATCGGGTGAGAATGCATCGAGAATATCTGAGATCCTGCGGCTCTGGAGGATGTCTCGGGCGCCGTGGCCTTCTTCGAGCGTCCCAGAACGCTCTGAGAGCGTTCCAGAACGCTCTGAAACAGATTCATTCTCGTCCTAGCCCCGTCCGAACCTCGACACTCTTGTGAATTGTGAACCTCGACGGCCGTCTTGGAGGTCCCGGGGGCCGGACGAGGGTCCAAATCGGCTGAATTCCTGAGACTCTGGGGTGACCTTGCCACCAAGATCGCCTGAGGTGGCTCCAAGAGGGCATCAAAGAGCCCAATATGGCCTCCAAGATCGCTCAAGATGGTTCAAGATTGCCTCCGACACACCTCCAAGATGCCTTAAGACGCCCGAAAACAGTTTTAAGTGCCCTCCGAGCCCTTCAAGGACCCCCCCAAGAGGCCCCAAAAGGCAAATGATTGTCGCATTCTCGCCTTTTCGCTTCCGATGGGCTCTTGAAGCCTCAAGATGGCCCCAGACGGCCGAAGACGGCTCCAAGAGGGGCGAGAGAGCCCCAAGAGGGCCCCAAGCGAGCTTCAAGAGCGGTCCAAGAGGGCCCCAAGACACCATTATGGAGCTTCCGAGAAGGGGGGGCTGAATTGAGGACGCCCCCCCCCTGTTTTTGAGCCATGGGGCCGAAGAGGCCTCCCAGACCCCTCCAATGCGCCCCAACAGGGCCCCATGACCGCCAAAAAGTTCCCCAAAAGGGCCCCAAGACTGCCCCAAGAGGCCCCACGGCTGCCTAAGAGAGCCCCTAAGATCACATTCGTCGTCCTTCAAGGACCTCTCACAATAACATAGCTCCAAAGCCCGACATCTCATCATCCTTGCTATCGATCGTTCCTTCCCTCCTCGTTTCCTGCCTCCTCCCTCCTCCTCCTCCTCCTCCTCCTCCTCCTCCTCCTCCTCCCTCCTCCTCCTCCTCCTCCTCCTCCTCCTCCTCCTCCTGCTGTTCCTCCTTCTCCTCCTCCTCCTCCTCCTCCTCATCATCTTCCTCGTGCCACATTCCCCCCTCTCCCCCTCCTCTTCCTCCTCCTCTTCCCCCTCCTCCTCATTCGCTCATGTTCCTCATGCTCCTCCTCCTCCTCCTCCTCCAACTCCCCCTACCCCTCACATGGTCCCAGGAGTCAAGCATGTTTCAAGACAGATTCTGACAGACCTCCACGAGGCCTCAAGAGCGCCAGGTGGGGATACCTTTTGATCGTGACCGCGGCGAAAGAGGTCGGGCGGCGTCCAGGAGCGTGGGTGGCACACGGGCAACGGCCTAAATTCGCGCACAGGGAGAAGGAGGGACGAACAGAGACAAGACAAAGCGGGGAGAGGAACGGGCAGGAGGCGAGCCTCGCTGCGCCAGGTGCGGATACGCGAGGCGTCACGGATCCTCAGGCTCTGGCGTGGCCTTGCCATTCTCGCCGCATCGGTCGCAAGAGCGTCCAAAGCGGTTCCACAGAGGAGCAACATCGGTCCGAGGTGGCCCAGGAGGAGGCCCCAACAGGGCCTAAGAGGCCTCCAAGACGGCCCCAAGAGGGTCCCCCCAAAGCACGCCACGGCTGCACCGCTGGAAGCCACCCCCTCCAACATGATCTCAAGCCCCCGCCCCCCAGGAAGCCCCAGACATCCCCCCAAATGCCCCCAGGGCCCCTGGAACACGACCAGTGCGGAGTGGCGTGATGGGCCGAGGACGTCCTCGCATCAAAGCCGCCACTGCCCCTTGCTCGTGTCCCCCTTCCATCTCGTGCGCCCCGGCTGTTCACTTCTCAGGGTCGGCGGAACCGACCGTAAGGCTATCGCAAGAAAAAAAAGGGAAACGACGACGGTGAATAAAACGAGGGACACGATGAAGGACAGGAGAAGAGGAGGAGGAGCGACATGAGGAGGAGGACGGGGCTATGCGAAGCCGCCCACTCAGTCAACTTCCGCGATTGCGAACCATTTCGCGATGGTACGGTTAAGTTGCACACTGATCTAGGGGGGACTTCCAGGACCCCTACGCGCCCCTGACCTACTGACCAAGAGGGAACAACAACACCACTAATTTTAAGACTGTTTGCTCTTCTCTGATCGCGTGCCAACCAGCACGTATATCCCAAACCATCGGCACCGGCCCTCTTCGTCTTCGATAGTGTCCCCGAAGGGGTGTGTCTTCCTTATCTCCCGCGTGTGATTGGCGCAGCCCCTGAAACAGGGGAAGAGGACGGATGGAAGGGGATGGAGAAGGATGGAACAAGGGATTAGCAGGACGGGGGCTAGGAAAAAAAACACTAGCAGAACCAGACTGGCCTATCGGGCGGGTAAACCCTGACGGGCGGGTCGGGAAGGCAGGCCCAAGCGGCCAGGTCGAGAAGGCGTGTTGCTGAAGCGTGAGTATTGCAGGAATCGCGAGGAGAGCTCGAGCGATAACGCGATTCCCGAATCAATCGTGAGAGAGAGACCGAAGCGAGAGCGTGACTCCTGAGTGTCGAGGGCGCGGCGTCTGAATAAATTGCGAGGACGTCCCGCGCGAGAGCGCGACTCCGCGCGAGATTGCGATTTGAGAATACATTGTGAGGAAGTATCCGGCGGGAGCCATTGTTGCTGTAGTTCGGGGACCAACCACGCAGTTTGGTGGCACCAAGCTTTCCGGATACAAAAACAGGGTGCGAGACCCGAGGGGGTCCACTTCAATTGAAACATACAATGGTTACTGGGGGAGGATCACCAGCCCTTATGCTTCATATATGAAAACTCAACAATAATAATAGTAATAATAACAGCCAGACGCAACAACAACAACAACAACAACAACAACGACGAAGACAACGACAACGACGACAACAACAGCACTACCAAACACACGAACAACAACGACAACAACAACATCACCATCAACAAGATCAACAACACCAGCAGCACCACCCATCGGTTTGAAACAGTTCGCTCTTACCTGCTCGCGTGCTACCCAACACGTATACCCCAAACTCTCGATACCCACCCTCTTCGTCTTCGGTCGTACCCGCTCAGGGTTAGATCTTTCTTGCACGCAACGTGTATTTCGTGCAGCCCCTGAGGCAGGGGAGGAGGAGGACGGATGGTAGGAAGGGACAGGGGGGAGGGAGGAGGATGGAGCACGAGGGGGAATATCAGGAGGGGGGCTAGGAGCAGAAAACACGTGGCAGAACCAGACGGGCAGATCGGGCGGGTAGACCCTAATGGGCGGGTCGGGAAGGCGGGTTGCTGGAACGCGCGTCCTGCATGAATCGCGGAGAAGTCCCGAGCGATGCGCGATTCTCATTTAAATCTTGCGGAAATTCATAGCGAGAACATGATTCTTGAGTGTCGGAGGGCACGGCGCTTAATACATTGAAGCGAAATCCACGCTAGAGGCCATCGCTGTATAACTTGTGAGGAAATCCCGCGCGAGAGCGCGATTTGGGAGAGGAGGTATCACGCGGGAGCCGTTGTTGTTGTTGAAAACTTGGGGCCTTGGGGCCAGGGGCACAATTTGGTGGCCCTTCACTTTGCCTTGAACAAAAGGGCGCGGCGCGTTCGGAGCAAATGTGGGAGGAAGATGTGGTCCCGGCGCGTTCGGAGTAAATAACAAACATCTTTTGGATATGGGAAACGACAGCAACAACAGCAATCATGTTAAGACTGGGCGATCATATCTGCACGCGTGCCATTCAACACGTATATGCAAAACCCTCGATACCCAACCTCTTCGTCTTCGATCGCACCCCTTTGGAATTATACATCTCTCTTACCTGCAACGTGTATTTCGTGCGAGGCAGGGGAGGGGGAGGACGGATGGTAGGAAGGGACAGGGGGGAGGGAGGAGGATGGAGCACGAGGGAGAATTGCAGGAGAGGGGTTAGGAGCAGAAAACACGTGGCAGAACCAGACGGGCAGATCGGGCGGGTAGACCCTAATGGGCGGGTCGGCCAGGTCGAGCAGGCGGGTTGACGAAGCGTGTGTCCTGTATGAGCCGTGAGGTGAGCTCGAGCGATAGCGCGATTCCCAAATACATCGTGGGGGAACTCACAGCGAGAGCGTGATTCCTGAGCGTCGATGGCGCGGCGTCTGAATAAATGGCGAACAGTTTCCACGCGAGAGTGAGATTCCTGTATACATTGTGAAGAAGTCCCGCGCCAGAGCGCGATTTGGGAATACAGTTCGAAGAAGTATCAGGCGAGAGCCATTACTGCTGTTGTAAACTGAAGGCCAGGGGCACAGGTTGGTGACATCAAGCTGTCCCTGAAAAAAACAGGGTGCGAGCCCTGGGAGAAGCACTTCAATCGAAGCAACTACATTGCTTACCGGAAGGGAGGGATCAACAATATGTATGAATCAGGAATGGGATTCCAAAAAATACCAGCAACAAAAACAACAACCCTCCCCCCGAAATTGAGATACGACCCCACTGACTGAAAAAAAATGGCGTCCGATAACAAAAAAAACCAAACATCTGCTACCAACCCCGAAGGTTACAAACCACCCGGACGGGTCTGGACTTGCTAAACATACACGACCCCTTCCCCGAGATGGAACTGATCCGCAACCGCGTGCGACGGGGGGCGCCCAGGCCCTTACAACTCAAAGATCACTCTGCCGGAGAGCCGGAGCGAACCGGCGCATCTCGAACGACCCGCGGTGGGCGCTACATGAACGACGACCAGACACAGGCCATTACGGCAGAAAACGTAGCGACATCACGCCGCGGCGTGCTCGGGCCGCCAGCGCGTCACGCTACAATGGGAACGAGGGCGCTTACGCGCGACCTCACGCGCGAATGTCCACCCAATCGAGCCCGTTTTCTGCGCCGTGCCCATGGTAAGGCGAAGGAAGGATGAGGCCAAATTCGGATGAGGAGAAATGGGGGTTCTCTGACAGCTGGCGGCTTCAAAGGATTTGTTAGGCGCCGCAGCCATTCCAGAGGGCTCCGGAAAGCTGTGAGAGCGTTCGGGGACGCTCTGGAGCGATTCATCCCTCATGAGCCTCCCTGACATGGTCTTCATTTCAAAGCGACCAAGGGATCGGAAAAGGAGGCTCCAGGAAAAAAAAACTGATGACCAGGGCCCCTGGCCGCCTCATCCTCCTTACGAGCCCGAGCACCAGCCCAGCGGTCGAAGAAGCGGCCAAAATCACCTTCTGCCGCCCAGGCCGGCCCCGGCAATCACCACGTGCGTGGGTCACCGCTTGGGGCCGATGCCACGACCCAGGCGGCCGTAGGTTTGTCCCAGAAGCTCGGCATGGACACCTGCAAACGGTAGACGGCCCGATGCTCTGATTTTAGGGGGGACACAGCGAGAGCCTACTTATGCTCGGGGTTATCTCTGGCACCAACACTCATCAAACCAGCCAAATCGGCCGAATTTGGTCCGACGAGCACAACACTTTGACGCATGATCTAGCATGTATATGCCCGAGACAGCCCTAAGCTGTAGCCAAACAGCCCACGGCTGCCAACTCACGCCGCCCTCTCCACTTACCCTCTAAACGGCGTCAACATTGGTCGGCGGCAGCGGCGTCAACCAGTACATGTTTTCCTGACCGCATGCGATTCGCTGAATAATAGGAGCGCTGCTCGATGCAGACTGCGGGCTTGTCATCGTGCCAAGCCGCGGCTTCGAAACAAATCTGCCACATCCTGCCGCTGATACCGCTCTGCCACGACCAATGCGGTCTCTCCTGAATGACCGTCCCAATCGCCAGTCACAGCTTCCACCCATGTGCCCTTTCCGCCTGCGTCCAGCAACAGGTTGCAAACGATCGAGGAACCTGCAGCAGCGGCTGCATGAAGCGGAGTTGTGTTCCCCTTCCAGTGGTTGGGCTTACCAGGTTCGGCACCTGCGGCAAGAGCAATTTTGCAAGCATCTGCATCCCCGGCTTGTGCTGCTGCGTACAAGTCCGCAGTCGCGCCAATGTAAGCCTTTAACTTCGCTGCATCAAATCCAGGTTGGCCTGGGGGCGGATGCGGCGATGCCAACATGCCGTTGACAAAGCGCGACTTTCCTTCGGTAGACGACGAATCACCAATCAGACCATCAAAGCAGGAACAAACAAGACCCATGACGTCAGATGGCGATGAAGACAACTCCTGACAAGTACCAGTTGCTCAGAAATCGGCAACACGCGACACTTCCAGAATAAAGACTAGAGACATGCAAGCTCGAGCCAAAATTACTACTGATTCGCAAAAGGTGTCTGAGGTGGTGAAATATCGTGTTATACAGTCAGCCTGTGGTGTCGTACCGTGTGGTGAACTGGTGAAATGTGGCCAAGACGCTCGGAAGGCAATCATTTCCCTGTGCAGGATCGTTAAATTGTCACGCAGGTTGGAACAACTTCATGCGCTTCAAGGACATCGGAACAGGGGGGGGCTTCGGGCCCCCCAAGGGTGAGGGGGGAGGCGCACACAAGCAAAAACAACAGGCAAACTGCGTTAAGCCCGCACTGTGCCCGACGAGGAGCGTCCTTCTCGCTCCGACACCGCCCTGCGCAGGCCCCCGAAGAAAGCACCGCAGGCCACGCGGCCCCAAGGCCACCTCTGCCGCCCTCCTGCGAGCGGACCCCTCCCTACCTCCCTCCCCCCCCCCATGCTCCCTCCTCCCCTCTGCCCCCGTCGCTGTGACAGCTCGAGGCGTTTGGGTGCAGGCCCCAAGGACCGGGCGTTGGCAGAACTGGGTTTAGTGGAACCTGGTTTAGTGATCTGTACCGGGGGCGCCCCCCCGTCCCATTTCCACTACCCGAACTGCCGTCAGCCGAAAAAAACACCAGCTGCGGCAGACCTGGTTTAGTTAAGGGCTCCGGGGCCCTACCACTAACCGGGTCCACGACACCTCAGCGGTCGCGCGACTCGGGCGGCGCACGCCATCACGCCCGAGCGAGGGCGCGCCCCCGATGTGGACCCGGTCCGGCATCGCCGCCGCCGCAATCAAAGGGCACGCGCCCGCCTGCTGCTGCGGCTGGGAGCGGCTGCAGGCCTGCTGGACCGCCACCGCAGCAGCACCGCGATGTCTGGCCAGCGCCGCGAGGCGTCGCGGCAGGCCGGCCAGCAGGCGTGGCGCCGCTCGGACCAGAACTGCGGCCAGAACAACCTCGCCTCCCGCGAGACGTGCCACGGCTGCGGCGCTGCGCGAGCAGGGCGGAGGCCGCCGCACGCAGCGAGGCCCCGGGTTTAGACCAGGAGGGCTCGCTGAGACGAGTGCCGCAAGGCCAAGGCGGCGGGGAAGGCGGAACGGAATCGCAGTCAGAGGCAGGAGCTCCGATGCTCCCAGCCCAGGCGCGCCAGCTGCGCAGCTGGATCACGCCGCCGCCCATCGCCGCAGGGCTGAAGGCGCCGGCAGGCCATGGCAGTGGCCTCCGAGAGCGTCAAGGCTCTGCGCAGCATGCCCAACGCGAACCCCAAGAGCCTCGGGAGGTCCGAGGAGAAGTTCGCGGCGCTGCACTGCCAGGTGATCCTGTCCAAGGACCCCGACATGCGCATGGAGAAGGACCAAGGCTTCGTCAGCAGGGCCAAGAAAACGCTCAGGGCCGCCAAGGACGCTGAACTGGCAGCGGCGCTGGCAGCCGAAGCGGCGAAGGCGGACACGGCCAATGCTCAGAGGGACCTGGACTACACCACCACGTTCATGGCGCATACAACCGAGATGGCCGACTTCTGTGTCTACCCGAAGCGGGGTGCCTGGGCGCCGCCAGCGGCGGCAGCAGGTGCGGTCCACGAGGCGCCCTACTCCATCGACGAGAAGGACTCGGAGATGGAAGACGGAGGCGCCATTGCAGATCGCTACGTCGGCGCGCCGCTGCTCGAGTGGGGCATTCAGTCAACGCCAAGCCTCTGGTGGCCACTGGGGCAGACCAGCAGCGCATGGCGGCCCTGGAGGGCAAGGTCGCTACCATGGCCGCCAGCGCGGCCGAGCTCGTCAAAGGCCTGTCAGATAGCAGAGCGGCGGCCCCGCAGCAGCGGCCAGCGCAACACCCGGTGCGGGCGAGGCGGCACCGCCAGCGCAGAGACCCGTGCGGGAGAGGCAGCAGCGCAGCACCAGGCCAGCGCCGACTGCCCTCCCGCGCGGTAGCCGACGTAGCGGAGCAGGCGCCTGCCCACCAGCCCCAGCAGGTACCTGAGGATGCCAGCCACACCGCAGTGGGCGAGGACAACGACGGCGACAGGGCCGCCCTACATGCCCAGGTTCCTGCACAGCCAGTCTTCCCAAGGTCGTCGGAAGCAGCCACGGAAGCCACGGGGTCGCCGTTGGACTGGTGAAGCGAGGCTCTGCCAGGCTGGTGGTGGCATCGGATCCAGCAGCCTCCTCAGCGGGGAGAGACCGTGCCACTTCTGCCGATGCAGCTCCGCGTGCCAGGGCATCGCAACGGAGCCCGTCATCTGCTTCACACTTTCCTTACACGCAAGCCTCACTGCGTGAACTCTGGGCCCCCTGGCCCGTCTCCCTGGACAGCGACGGCGTGCTGCTGACATCCTCCAGGGAACACCTTCTCAGTGCCACGAAGGCAGCGCTCGACCACTGCGTGATCGGGCACGTGAGCAACGGTCTCTGGCAGTTCCAGTCGCTACGCATCTACAGTGACGGCTCAGGAAGTGCCAAGACAGGGTACTTCAAAGGGCCGCCAACACGGGGCCGAATGGTGGGAATACACAACGATGGGACCACAGTCCTGCTGGGCACCATGGTCGAGGCAATGCCCATCCTGTCGGACCAGTTCGCCCAGTCGTCGGGAGCTGCGGAGATCTGCGCGGCCATCACGGCCGTCATCTGGCTTCTGCAATTGGTGCCAGCGCAGGGGGATAAGGTTGCATCCTGCCCGCTGCCTGCAGTCGAGGTCTTCACCCATATCAAGTACGTGATCGACATCGGAAGGCGAGGAGCCTTGCTGGAGCATCACGCGCCGTAATTACGGAGGGCGCGCCGCTGGATCTCCCCGGGGGGGGGGGGGAACCCCTGCCCCCCTCTTTCCCCGATCCGTCGTCGGGGAACCCCCCCCCTCCCCCCCTTTCCTGGTCCGTCGTCGGGGCCCCCCTCTCCCACTTTCCCGGTCCGTCGCCTGGCACCCCCCCCCCCCCCCTCCCCCCCTTTCAAAAGGGGGAAAGGGAAGGGCGCGGACCCCCCCCCTCCCCCCCTTTGGCCGCCGAATTCGACCCCCCCCCCCCCCCCCTTCCCCCCCTTTCGCCACGGCGCCCCCTTGCTCCGGAACCCGACCCCTACCACCCCTAACACTACCACCCCGACCACCCGTAACCCTAACCCCAAACCGTAACCCTAGCTCCAAACAGTACTCAGTACTCATTATGCACTACTCACTACCCACTACTCACTACTCGCTGCTCACTACTCAGTTCTCACTGCCCACTGCTCACTACTCACGACTCATTACTCACTACCCACTACTCACTCCCCACTACCCACTACTCACTACTCACAGTCACTAATCACTACTCACTACTCCCAATTCACTACGCACTACTCACTACTCACTCTTCACTACCCACTACTCAATACTCACTACTCACTAAACACGACTCACTACCAACAACTCGCTACTCATTAATCACTATTCACTACCCACAAACCACCTTCCACTACTGAGTACTCACAACTCACTACTCACTACTCACTGCCCACAACTCACTACTCACTATCCGCTGCTCGCTACTCTCTACATCCTACTCCTCACACAGTATTCACTACTCACTATTTATTCCTCGCTACTCACGACCCGATACGCAATAAAGGGGGGGGGGTCGGACCCCCCCCCCCCTTAAAGGAGGGGGTGGGAGGGGGGGGGTCGGACTTCCCCCCTTAAGGGGGGGAGGGGGGGGGGTCTGCGAGCACCCCCGTCCTTTTAGTTACAGGGTGATCCAGTGGCGCAATTTCGTATTTACGCGGGCTACCTGGACGGGGCACGTGGGTCCGCGTTACTGGACACATGGCGGACCCGTGGAACGAGCTCGCCAACACCATTGCCACGTTGGCCAGAGGTTGGCTCGTCAGCTGAGCCAACGAATTCGACCTGTGGGAGCTGGTGGCGCACACAGCACTGCACATTGACTGGATGTGGCTTCGCCTGGCACCGCCAGGGGCTCGGGAGTCAGTCCCGATCCTCAGGCCGGCTGCCAGGGGCCTGCAGCAAGTCCTCTAAGGGAGGCTCAGCGCCGCTGTAGACGCAAGCGGAGGACATGTCGCCCTAGGCCCGCTCCACGTCAAACTGGCCACTGCCACCATGCTCACGCTGGACCCCAGAAAGGCCAACCGGGTGCTGATCCAGGCAGGATGCAGTCGCTGGCGCAGCAGTTCGGGGACGCTGGTTACCACGTGGCAAACACCATGGAGGCGCAGGTCCCCACCGACTCGGTCGTGAAGGCGTGCAAGTGCAAGGTCTTCCAAGCAGCGGCGACGTCGGGATAGTTTGCAAGAAAAACACACAGCAGTGGTGCACCGCAGTCCCACGACAATGCTGGCCTGCATGCATACGGGCCCCGTTCCTTGAGTGCGACATCCTGGTCGGCCACGCGCCCCACAGCCGCGAGCTGGCCAGGAACATCGGAGTGCAGAACATACTGGCCAAGACAGACATCAGCCACATCCGGTGGACCGAGACGGACAGCATACTGGCCAACAGGAGGGGCACGAAGGTCGAGATGTTTGGTCTGCTGGATGCCAACGCCCAGATGGGCAGTGCACCTGCTGAAGACATCGTCCAATACGGAGCCCAGGACGAGAACACCCGGGGGGCGTGCCTACGCAGCCTTGTCAGGACCGTGGGAGCGGACCTCCAATCCACCCTTGTAGCCTCGATGGGGGAGCACGTACGGCACCTGGAGCTCGGCCAAGGCAGGTGCAACAGCCAAGGGCAAGCGGATGGACTAGAAAATGCTACCACTCGGACTTGTCGAGTTCGTCAACATTCAAGGCAAGGCGTCAACAAAGACATCGGGCTCATAGTGACCCACAACAACCATGCTCCAGGTGGACGTGGACTTAATGCTCCAGGTGGTCAGGATGGACCGCACGTGCCCGACGTGTCGCAAGACCAAGATCGACAAAGCAAAGCTCACGGACAAAGAATGCAGTGCCAAGTTTGAGGTGTTCCTCACGCAAGCAGCCAAGCCTGACGCAGCCATGCAACCGAACGACCACGCCGACTACCTGGACCAAGCAATGCAGGAGGCAGC